GAAATGCCTATATTGAAAATAAATAGATAAATTGACTTTCACTATTGCTAGAACTTAAGAATTTACCCAAAGGTGAATCTATCATTCTACGAATAGTGAAAATTATGAGGTAAATTAATATTTTTTAGTAAAATATATATTGTATATCCAAATATGTCGTTTAAAAATATTCTATTACCTATTAAAGATAAAAAAAATGGCATTTAAATTATGATAATGTGTCGTAGTATCTACCCAAAGGAGAATTATGATATATTTTTATCGCTTTACTGAATTCACATTATTTTCTGATTTGTGAGCATGTATATCTATTTTGTAGTTAGTCCTCTTCATTCACATTCTTCATTTGTTATTGTGTTCAATGGATTAAACTTCTCTGAATGCCATGAACAAGTCTAGTTTCACTTAGGTGTGATGGATCTTGACTTGGCTCTGCTGAATGACAAACCTACTGCCATTACTGATAAGAGTAGTGAGGATGAGAAGTCTTTTCATAAATCATGGGAATGCTCTAACACATTAAGCCTTATGTTTATGCGAATGACTGTTGCTAACAACATTAAGAGTACTATTTCACAAACTAAAAGTGGCAGGGAATACCTAAAGTTTGTGGAAGAACATTTTCGTTCTGCTGATAAGTCTTTCGCTGGTACACTAATGGCTGAACTCACAATCATGAAGTTTGATGGGTCGCGTAGTATGCAAAATCATATCATCGAGATGGCTAATATTGTAGCAAGACTTCGGACCTTGGGGATGAAAATGGATGACACCTTCTTGGTTCAGTTTATTCTGAACTCGTTGCCTCTTGAGTATGGACCATTCCAAATTAACTATAACACTATTAAGGATAAGTGGGATGTTAGTGAATTGTCCAGTATGCTTACTCAAGAGGAGTCAAGACTTAAGAAACAAGGAGGTCATTCCATTAAACTCATGGGTTAAGGAGTTGGTAAAGGGCTTAAAGTGAAGGCCAACAAGTTTAAGAAAAAAGAAAGCACCTGCTAAAATTCCACAGGATGCTCATAAGGAACTCAAGGCCGATGTGTGTTGTTTCTGTAAAAAGGAAGGACACTATCAGAAAGATTGCCAGAAACGTAAAGCTTGGTTTGAAAAGAAATGTACATTTAGTGCTTTTGATTGTTTAGAATCAAATTTAGTAGAAGTTCATAATAATACTTGGTGGCTTGATTCTGGTGCAACTACTCATGTATCCATTATGTTGCAGGGATTCACTATGATCCAAACTACAAATCCAAATAAGGATTTCTTGTTCATGGGAAATCGCATGAAGGCTCAAATTGAAGGCATATGGACTTATCGATTGATCTTGGAGACTCGACATCACCTTGATCTATTACAGACTCTTTATGTTCCTTCTTCTAAGAATTTGATTTCTCTTTCAAGACTTTATGTTTCTGGATTTGATTTTAAGTTTGGACATGGATGTTTCAATTTATATAAGAATACTATTTTTTATGCTTCAAGTGTTCTTATTGATTGTTTATATAGATTGAAACTCGATAATAATTTTTCTGAATCCCTGCTTACTATTCATCAAAATATTGGAATTAAACGTAGTTCACTAAATGAAAGTTCTGCTTATTTGTGGCATAAACGTTTGGGTCATGTATCCAAAGAACAATTAAAAAGATTAGTAAAGAATGAAATTCTTCCGAATTTGAAATTTGCTGACCTTGATATATGTTTGGATTGCATTAAAGGAAAGCAAACCAAACATACCAAGAAATGAGCCGCAAGGAGCACTCAGCTTCTTGAAATTATACACACTAATATTGATGTTCCATCTTTAGGTGGAGAAAAATATTTTATCACCTTTATCGATGATTTTTCACGTTATGGATTTATCTATTTGTTCAAAGAAATATCTCAAGTAGCGGACGCTCTCAAAGTGTAACACCCCGCTACAAGAAAGACTTAGAATTAGAAATAGTCGTTATTGGAAAGAATGAAAATATGGAAATTTGACAAAAATTAAGTCAAGTATGAGTTTTGGGTCAACTTAAAACGACCATAACTCCTATCTCAAGATGAGTTAGGTGTGCTACAAGATACCGTAGAAAATATCATTGAATTATCTTTCCATCGCCGACAAATTTGCGCGATTTTGAGTTCGTATGAAGGAGATATACCCATTTGAAGTTGGGTTGTCTAGCTATGGAAAGTAAAAACCGGATTTTAGAAGGGTACTTTGATCTTTTCACTACCCTTTTAATGCAATTCGGTTTTGGTAATTAAGTTGGGGTCTAAGCTGAATTGTTCAGTTTATGCTTCATCAAAACGTGTTAGGATTTTGAGAGAAGAGAAAAGAGGAGGATCAAGAATTCGTCGATTTCTTGAGGAATTGAGTGCGGATTTCACCAAGGATTCTATCCTATGAGGTATGTGAGTTCACATAGGATTGGGTTCGTTCACCCACGCACCAAACATGTTTATTTCAGTATGATTTTCTTCCTAAAAGATTGAGACTTTGATGTTCTTGAATTGTATTCTTGAATTGCTTTCGTTCTTGACTTTGGGATGGGATTGAGGAGTTCTTGAGAGTTTAAGGTCGATTTTAGAGTTGTGTTTGATTAGATTCTTGTGCACATATAGTGGATATCTAAATCTAAAGAGGAGTTGAGAAAAATAATCGATTATAGGCAAATTGGGGTCAGAAAACGAAGAAGGAACAAGTCGGACAAATCTGGGTACGCAGGTCTGCGTCGCGGACCTGTTCCTCATGATTGACCAAATTTTCTCCGTGTCGCGGAGTGGTCACAGACCGTTCTGCCTCAAAACTTATTGCGCGACTAAATAATTAAATGCATTTCTGCTTCGCGGAGTTGCTTCCAGGCAGTGATTTCTTGATCGTTTCTCATGTTTAACTATCTAAAAACACTCCTAAACATCATGAGATCTTTCCTATCACAAATCACAATCCTTGAATCCATAATTCAATTCAAGGAAAGTTAAGAGTCAATTCAAGAGAAGTTAAGAGTCAAGTGAAGAGATGTTAAGAGCCAAGTCAAGAGAAGTTCATAGAGTCTTCCAAAAGTCTTTTACAAATGTTTTAACTTTGTTTTAAGACTTGAGTTTTGAGTTGAGTAAAGAGTAAAATATTTGAAGTTCATTTCTTCAAAAGAGTATATCTGGACTATGTATACCCAAAGAGTTTAAAATGTTTTCACATTTAAATAAGAAAGGAAAGTGAGATTTCCAAAAGAGCCTTTGAGCTAGTTTTCAGTAAAGAGTAAATACTTTCATAATTAAGCAAAAGAGGAAATTTTAGTTTCGAAGATAGCCTTTAAGCTAAGTTTTGAGCAATTATCTCAAACCACAGAAAGAAGTATGTTTTTCAACATAAGAGCTATTATTATATTTTGGGAATAGTATTGAACACCGATATGGGGGAGAGTTCAGACAACTCCTAGCCCCCATAAACCATGTAGTCATCATGGTTAGAAAAGGGTCATACTTTTTAGATGATTCCTTAGTGCTTTTTAGCATAGACTAGTGGATCCACTTAGTAGTCAGGTTCTATGCCCTTGGCAAGGTATAGACGGCCCTGGTAGCGTGAGGCAAAACACTTTATCATCATAATAGCTCTTAAGTGATGGTTGTCAGTTAGAGAAAATCCCACAACAGTATTTTCTATTCTTATATACACTGAGTTAAGTGTATTTTTATATACATTCAGAGTTTATATTGTTTCTTTGCATACATTCAGAGTTACTATTATATTTCTAAATACATAGAGTTGTTATCCATGTCTTAAAATCTTTTCTTTTTATTGCATTTATTTTATTTCTTTATATTGAAATGATTTAAGTTGAGTTGAGTTGAGCCCAGGTATGTTCCTTCGGTTCCTTTCAAGCTTATGTCTTATTTTAGAATTCCCCTCGTATGCTAGTACATTCAATATACTGATGCTAGTTGGCTTGCATCTTATTATGATGCAGATTCAGGTAATAAGGATCAACATCCATTGCATCGTTGATCCAGTTGAGCTTCAGAGTTATTGGTGAGCCTCTTTGCTTCCGGAGGATCCCCTTTTTCATTACTTTATCATTTTAGTTCATTAGGATGTTGGGGGTCTTGTCCCGACATCCATCTCACTTTTAGAGGCTTCATAGAGAGACAGTCAGTTAGTCATTTGTCTTTACCTTTTTATTGGCTTATGTTCAGATTTGAGTTGCCACTTTGGCTAAGTTAAATATTTATTTCTAAAACATTATGAGTTTAGTTTGAGACAGTTGATTATCTTTCATTTTAGTTCTTTTCTTAATGCTTAAAGTCTTTCGCTGAGTAAGTAAGTCAGGCCAATGGTTCGCTTGTGGCCATAAATGGTTCTCGAGTGCCAGTCCCACCCAGGGTGTATGCTCGGGGGGTGAAAAGCTTGGTATCAAAGCAGAGAGTTCAAGAGTCCTAGAGAGTCTATGAAGCTGTGTCTGTAGAGTCCTAGTTATCAGTGTGAAGCGCGCCACATCTATAATTAGGAAACTGCAACATTTAGGAAATTCTTTAACTTCTTTCATACTCCTTTCATGCAATAGAGTTCATCTCTCTATAGTTTCTTTCTAACTCGTGCTTGCGCGTAACCGATTGTGTGTTAGTTTATTTTTTAGAGTGCTTTCATGGAGTGTTTCTTTCCCTATGAGCTAAGAGAAGCAAAGGTACGACAACTCCTTACCCTTAAGCAGGAATCTATGGGTGTTCATGAGTACAGTATGAAGTTCACACAACTTTCCCGCTATGCTCCGGAGATGGTTGCTGACATGAGGAGTAGAATGAGTTTATTCGTTGCTGGATTGTCTCATCTGTAAAGTAAGGAAAGCAAGGCAGTTATGCTGATAGGGGATATGGACATAGCAAGGCTAATGATCTATGTGCAACAAGTTGAGGAGGATAAACTGAGGGATAAAGAAGAGTTTAAGAATAAGAGGGCTAAGACATCAGGGAATAAGTCCGGGCAGCAAACGAGAAATACGAACGGGTCTTCTTTCCAAACTAAGCAAAAGGGACCTGCTCCATCATCTGCTAGTGCATCTGCACAAGGGAACAAAAGTGAGTACAATAGTCAGAATTTCAGAGCTAAGCCTGCCTATTCTCAAGGTAGTATGGCACAAGGGGATAGTAAGCCTTTTGCATGTGCTAAGTGTGGTAGGAACCACTCAGGGATGTGTCGTGATGGCTCCACTGGTTGTTTCAAGTGTGGCCAGAACGGTCATTTAATGCGAGAGTGTTCGAAGAACAAGTATGGTAACGATAATGGGGGCAATAGAGCCCAGTCTTCTTCAGTTCCTCTACCAAATAGAGCTACATATAGAAGAGCTACTTCAGGGGTAGGCAAAGGAGGAAATCGTCTTTATGCTATTACTAGTCGCCAAGAGCAAGAGAATTCTCAAGATGTTGTCACTGGTATGATCCAAGTCTTTAACTTTGATGTTTACGCTATGCTAGATCTAGGAGCGAGTTTATCTTTTGTAACTCTATATGTTGCTATGAATTTTGATGTTCTTCCTGAGCAACTTCTTGATCCCTTTAGTATTTATGCACCTGTTGGTGAGTCTATTCTAGCTAAGAGAGTCTATCGTGATTGTATAATTTTTGTCAATCACAAGAGTAGCATGGTTCACTTAGTTGACATAGATATGGTAGATTCTGATGTCATTTTAGGTATGGACTGGCTTCATGCATGTTATGCATCAATAGATTGTAGAACTCGAGTTGTTCGATTCCAAATTCCTAATGAGCCAGATATAGAGTGGAGTAGCAGTTCAGTAGTGCCTAAGGGTCGTTTTATTTCGTACCTTAAGGTGAGAAAGTTAGTTTCCAAGGGGTGTGTCTATCACTTAGTCCGAGTTAATGACTAGTGTCGAGATACCTCCTATTCAGTCAGTTCCGGTAGTAAAAGAGTTTCCATAAGTCTTTCCAGATGATCT